TAATTCACTATTATAGTAGCTATATAAATCTATTTTGGGTTTTTATTAGTTTTGCTATTAGTTTGATTTCTGTTTGTAGGTAATGGACTTTTTTCTATGTAGATTCGATTTAGTTTAGATTTATTAATATGACATCCCCTAGGTCACGGACTTTTTAAGGATTAGATTTATTCTTTTCTTGAGAATCTTTTGAATACTTAAAAATTCAAGCAGTTTTATTGATAGGACTCAACCCAAATTCCACTTTGGAATTCGAGTCGAACCATGTGCATGTTCGACACCCTCTTTCCTTATGCACCCTCTTTCCTTAGGTCAGGACGTTTGCATTTGTTCCCTTAGGCACCCTCTTTCCTTTCGGAACCCTCCTTCCGAAGATGCGAAGGGACCTAGGCGACACGCGATGACGTCATACCTTCCGTTCGGAACCCTCCCTTCCGAAGCGTGGAAGGAGACCCATGCGACAAGCGATGACGTGGTAACCCAAGTTCGGAACCCTACTTTCCATTCAGCACCCTCGTACCCAGCACATTGCCTTGCGACATGCAAGCTTTGTGTCACCTTTGGTACCTTCATGTCTGACACTTTGCCTTGCGACATACAAGCTTTGTACTTCCGGCATCCCCTTTGCATTCAGCACTCTCGTGCCTAGCACATTGCCTTGCGACATGTAAGCTTTGTGTCACCTTCGGCACCCTCGTGGCTGGCCCATTGCCTTGCAACATGCAAGCTTTGTGTCACATTTAGCATCATGTTTGCCTTCGGCACCCTCATGCCTAGCTCTTTGCCTTGCGACATGCAAGCTTTATTCCTCTGATATCACATTTGCCTTCGGCACCCTCGTGCCCAACACATTGCCTTGCGACATGCAAGTTTTGTGTCACCTTCGGTACCCTCATGCCTGGCCACATCGCCTTGAACAGGCAAGCTTTGTGCCTTCGACACCCTCGTGCCTAGCCATATCGCCATGCGACATGCAAGTTTTGTGTTGCCTTCGACATCCCCTATGTCTTCGGCACCCTCGTGCTTAGCCACATCACCCTACGACACGAAAGCTTTACACCTCCGGCACCCTTGTAGGCACATCGCCTTGTGACATGCGTCTTCGCCTTCGGCACCTACGTTCCATTCGGCACCCTTGCATAACAAAAACGAGACTTGCAAACCACTTAGGTTTTTGTTGCAAGTTCCCTCCCTTTAATGTCATTCTTACCCGGGGACTTGGGGGACAATGGGCAGTGCACTATGCAGCTTGGAAGATGAACTGTGGTGTGGCTTGGCCAGTGCACTTAAAACTACAAGACCCCAATCAAGAAGTACCTTCTTACTCGAGAACTTGGGGGACTACTGTTGATATCGTAACTGACCGAGCAACTAGCCATGCTAGACCATCCACATGCCATGCTTTGAGAGGTCATCACCTCAGCCAAATAAGCATTACCACAACTCTAAGCAAGAGGAGTCCCACATCGGAAAACTATAAGAGATGGATACTTTATTTACCTTAACTGCCGAATGCAACAATCTGCAGAAGGCACATACACCTGCTGAAGACCCACGTCTTCACACATCATCCACCATTCCACCTCTATCTAAGTTGACCTCCCAAAAAGAGCATCAACAGGCAGTAACTGATAGGAAAATACTTGTATCATGATTCATGTTGTTGTGTAGGTATTTGGTTCCATGGTCTTTAGTGAAAACAAGAAAAGCAAAAGCACAAGTTTAACTAAAAAAACATAACCAAATCATAAGCTAGAAGGGTACAAAATGATATACAATTATGAACCGATCATAGGACTGCTTAGTAATTTGGTGGCAGTTGATCGCATTACTTTTTTTCCTGCTATATATATTACTGATCTTGAAAGATAAACTATCAACATGGGTTTAAAGTATAACATAAATGTTTAGCAGATTCAATGATTTTACTAATATAACCCTATAGCAAATTACTCATATAACCCATATACCTCAATCGTATAGAACAAGCTTCATATTCAGCAAATTTACATATCTACGCCTCAATCGTATACAACAAGCCTATTTAATAAACATAAAAATACCCTGATTTCTTACCATTTCTTTTTCCCAAATCCATTGCAAATTTCCCGTATTTTGCTAAGCCGCCATGGCAGACGAAGAAGTAGTACAGACATCGGAAGTCAGAGAAGACATAGAAGACTCACTAGAATTCAAACTCTTCCTATCCATGAAGAGATACTTCGAATTCCAGCAAGCTGTAGAAAAGGACCGAGACAACACCGAAGATGACCAGAAGCGCTCCAATGCACATGTTATTGTTCAGTATACCGAGTCCGTCAAAACTGAGATGTGGGATCAATTGCGACCTAAGTTGATCCCATTAATGGAAAGCAATAAGATTTCTTCGCCGCAAAGTCTGGATAAGCCACAATCTTACCCATCCCACCCACTTGGACGGAGTGGTTCATGCAAAAGGGAGTGTCTTGGATATCCGCTCGAGGTAGCACCGGTGGAAAATTCGCTACCGCTATACTTCAGCTTTTAGCCTCTGTCCTAGTTGCCAAGCTCATGTCTGGGGCTTGGAACTGGTCGCTAGGAAAAGACCAAGAAACTACCAACAAAGATACTGACAATACAAAGCCCAAAGACAACGGCAAAGGCGAAGAGAATGAAGACCTCGACTTGGGTATTTCATATGCTTTATTTATTTATTTTTTAAACATTATCTGTTTAATTTTTTATCTCTTTCATTTTTTAAAAGATTATATTTGTAATAACATACTGTTTCTCAATTGGACAAATTTCTAAAGCGGCTCTGGGGTAATTCCTAAAAGAATCATTTGGCGATGGTGCTAGCACTAGTGGATTTTGAATTCTACTTCTTTCAAGGTACTGTTATATAGTTTGCTTTTTCACGCACACTCTGTAATTCACTATTATAGTAGCTATATAAATCTATTTTGGGTTTTTATTAGTTTTGCTATTAGTTTGATTTCTGTTTGTAGGTCATGGACTTTTTTCTATGTAGATTCGATTTAGATTAGATTTATTAATATGGCATCCCCTAGGTCACGGACTTTTTAAGGATTAGATTTATTCTTTTCTTGAGAATCTTTTGAATACTTAAAAATTCAAGCAGTTTTATTGATAGGACTCAACCCAAATTCCACTTTGGAATTCGAGTCGAACCATGTGCGTGTCCGACACTTGGCAGGTGCCGGGCACAAATGACTAATTTGCCCCTCTAACAAAACTTCAAACTAATCTCAAGTTTGACTTCTGCCGAAAATTCGGCAAAGTCTCCCCTGTAATATGAACATTTCCCAAAAATTTTACCTGTCAAATAAGCATATAAATGTATATCACAACGGCCAGCATGTAATAAATTATATCCAAGAAAATCAAGCATCAAAACATTTTGGCCTTAGGCCTCAATAAAACGAATAAATCTTGCTACTATCAACATTCGATTCAAATTTTTAGAACATCATCAAAACAATTTTAGATCTCGAAATAACTTAGCTGGACTACCTTTTAATCACTTGACCTCGCGGCTGCACCTAGAATTCTAGGTTGCCTACGTACCCTTAACCAGGGATCAAGCCACATGTAGTTCTTTCACTTATTATACTGTTCTTGTTATACTTGTACATAAACCGAATATGTTCATTTATATTTATATATCCATTCATGCGTTTGCATAAGTCTTCACACCAGTTTAAAACATTGTAAAACAAATATTCATCTTCCACCTAAGTGTGTCTATCATTATTTGTCATTTCCTTGTGTCTCAGTTCGTGACATGGCTTCGCAGGCCTCGATAACACAAGGTCGCCCGAGCCGCAACCCTCGCAGGATTCAAGGGACGTCTAGTCAACCTGATCCGCATTTCTCGAAATAGTGCGTATTCAAGCATATGTAAGTCACTTATTGCATTTCCTCTAGTTCATACATATGTAAGTCACTTATTGCATTTCCTCTATATATATAATTTATACGTCATTGGCTTAAATGATATATATATATATTCAACAACGTAATTAGAATATATATTTCCATCTTCATTTGTAAAACAATTTATCGCTTACGAAAATAATGGTACTGTATAAACTCCTCCATTTTAGTTTAAAAGCATCTCAAAACTTAAATTCTCTCCACCTAGGCGTACCCCTTTCCTGATCCGTCAATTCCATCCTCGCAGGCCTCGGAGACCCCAAGTCCACTCGAGCCGCAATCCTCGCAGGCCTTAGAGATACCACTTCCATCCGAGCCGTAATCCTCACATGCCTTAGAGATACCACTTCCATCCGAGCCGCAATCCTCGTTGGCCTCGGAGATACCACTTCTATCCAAGCCACAATCCTCGCAGGCCTCGGAGATACCACTTCTATCCGAGCTGCAATCCTCGCACTGCACGTTTCGGATGTCCCCGAAACTTGTGGGGCATGTCATAAATGACAAATGGTTTCAAGACACTGGGGGGGTACTCCTCTGGTAGGTTTGAAAGTCATATTCAGAAATTTATCACAAACTTTGCCTTCTATTCCTCAAATCTATTTTTTGCTACTAAATGTATGGACTCAATATAGATATATATTTAAATATTTAACTAGTCTGTTAGTCCCTTCGGACTCTGATGAACAATCCCTTCCAATATTATGTTTATAGTCTTAACAACACAATTAACTATATGAATAAGTAAATAGGTGATAAATGAACAAATAAATAAATACTCATACTTGTTTACTTGTTGACTTTTCTTCTAGCAACTACAACTATGGTCAAGCCGATAAAGCAATCGGAAAGGATTTGATAGCCAATCTGGATCTAGTGGCCACTGACCCGGTTGTATCATTCAGGACAACTATATGGTTCTGGATGACCCCACAGGGAAACAAGCCATCGAGCCATGACGTCATCACTGGCAGGTGGAGCCCATCTGCTGCAGACACGTCGGCGGGTCGGGTCCCCGGGTATGGAGTGATCACTAATATAATCAACGGTGGGCTTGAATGTGGGCATGGCCAAGATGATAGGGTGGCTAGTAGGATTGAGTTCTACAGAAGGTATTCTCAGATTTTGGGAGTGAGCCCAGGGGATAACTTGGATTGTTATAACCAAAGGCCTTTTGCCTAAAAAAGACAAAAGGCTAAAATAATCTTATGTACGGTCTACCAAATAATACAATAATCATCCTATGTAATAGGAAATGTCTCGTTTCTATTTCATAAATAAAAGCTTGTTACTTTGCATTTGCACTAATTTTCTTTAAATACAAGTGATATTACAAAAAACAAAAAATAAAAGGAGAAACAAACACCGACCAAATGAGCGAGTAAATAATTTTAAACATTTGAGTTATTAGTTAACCTTATACTACTCACTTGTCAATTATTATATAGAAAATAACAAAGCATAGTTCTTTGTTTGATTCGGTTATCATGAAATTTGAACATATAACATCCTCTACATAAACCCTGGTTAATTTACTAAACGACAACTGTAATAACTAACTTTAAAATTAAGGGCATATGGTAATTTCATTCACTTTCTAACGTCTAGGCTGCTTTTTCATTTTGAGCATGAGCCAAAGGCACAAGAAGACTAAATTTATTAAGGTCATAATCTTTTGCAATTTACGATATGTCGTTTTTCATCAACATCTTAGGCTTTTCATTTTGGGCCATTGCGAAAAACCGGGCTTTAGCGCTAACAATGTCAATAACGAACCTAAAGGAGTAAATCTCCCCATGACCCATCACAGCACCCGCAATCCCCAAATCTCAAACCCCTGCAAAACCCTAACACCTTCACCAG